ACAAAAACAAGAATAGGTAATGTATTATTTATTTGTCCAAATTTCAACCATTAGAGTGATGCCTTGAAATATAAAATGGAAGTTCAAAAACTCTTTATTGACACTTTATTTTATCAAGAAAAGCGCACTGATATTAAACTTAACTTTTTTTGTTAACGAATCCTGCTAGCTTATTATTTTTTTTTCAGTTACTTTTTTATTTTGTTAAATTTAGAAACTGAAATGTAAAGAAAATGAAAATTTCAAACTAAAAAAGTTAAAAAAAATAAAACAAATTATACAGGTAAAAATCTTTAAAAAGGAGCTCAATAAATAGCTTAAAAAAGCTAAATATTTGCCTCGTTGTCAATTTCAGTCCTAATATTTTTAATTTTTAATAAGTAATAATTTTTTTTATAAAATTCAACTTCAATTTAATGTTGAAATATTTTTAAAATTAAAATAAATTTAAAAAAATTAAAATAAAATAAATTATTAAATTCAATTATTAGTCAAGGTGATGTAAAATGACAAAATTAAAATAAATAAATGGATATAAAAAAGGAAACTCCATCTCCTCACCTGCTACATGTACACATGTACGTACCAGTATAGTGACTTCTCCATGGGTTTTAGATTTCTTTTTATTTTTAATTTTAATTATCTTGTATTTCATTCCATTCACACAGTGAGAAACTCATATAAAATATATAATAATAATGTGTTATAATTATTATTTTGCTTCGCTTTTGCATATAAATGTTATTGTCAACCTGATGATGCGTTGATTGATTGCATCTCAAGTTAATTTTAAGCATTCTGAAAAGGACCGATTGAATTTGACCGAAAGCTTTGAATAAGTTCTCCATATCCAACATCTTCGATTGCTTCTTCTTTTTTTTTTCTTTTTGAGAATTACCCTCCAATTATTCTGAATGAACCCTCGAGTGAGAGTGGGAATGTGGAGTTCCCGGAATGGTCAGAGCCAACTGGGCATCGAGTTGCAACCCGTTGTGACCGGGTTATCACCTACCGAGCTATTCAAGTTGAGCCTATATAGCCATAGGCCTGAGGGACTGGGTTCTTTGCCATTGATGTCTCTGATAAAGACCTGCTCCCTTTTCATTACTGTGAAACATTTGTCCAGACACTATACATATTGACTGATCTGTCCTTCCAACAAAAAGATTAGTTTTTTTTTTTTCTTTTCAAAAGTAACACACACCGAAAAAAAATTTCTGGACAAATTAATATAACACAAAAAATATGTGGAGAGAATAATTTAGTCATTGGGTCGTGTTATTGAGAATAAGGTATGGTATTTTTTTAATTATAAAATATTTGAACACCATGACTAGAGGCTACACCATAACAATTATATAATTTATTTTTTTGAGCTAAGCTATTTTTGAAAATGTAGATTTTTTTGAAAAATTTACAAGTTATGATCTACCACAGCTAATATGTTGGGAAAGTCACTAAAAAATAATGTAGAAGAAGAAATAATCAGTTGGCAAGATTCGTTAATAAAAGTACACATGTCTTTTAAACTTTTTAAGAATAATAGAATAATTTAATTATTCTCCAAGTTAAAAAATTTAAACTAACAAGTATTTCAATCTTTTTATTTTTTAAAACATAATAAAATAATACTTTTATTCATGAAATTAAAATATATTTTCAAATGCCTTTTGATTTTTTCACTTTTTTTTTTAATTTATTGAGGGCATTTTAATTTTTTTATATAAAATAAATATTATTTTAATAAAAAAACAAGGTATACACTACGAGGCTTTGCTTGACAACCAAGAATATTGTCATTAAAAGCGACACTATATTTTATTTTTATTGGTGTGGTTTGTGTTAAAGGTGATTGTACTCTTTATCATTGATGATTTTTTTTTTACTCTTTTAAAAATTATAGCTTTTTTTTTTTGTTGGTGGTATTTGTTTTAAGTCTTTATTCTATTAATTTGTAATATTTTTATTGGTTTTTTTATCAAGATTTATTGGTTTTAAATTTTATCATTCCATCTATATTTGTGACATATTTTGATTTTTATCCTTATTTTTCTAGTTGTTATATCTTATTTTTGATTATTTTGTGTAATTGATTGTTTTTCATAATTTTATTATTTAGCGTTTGATTTGTTTAGGATTGAGTTTCACTATTTTTACATGTATAGCATTTTACTTGGGTTATAAACTTGAAAAGTTAATGGGGATTAATATCATCATTTTGACTTATATTTTTTAAATTTTATCATTTAACATTATTTTTTTATAAAAATTAACCTTGTGATTTTTTAATTGTTTTTTATTGAATTATATTGATTTTATAACCTGAGACACAAGTTTAAAGAGCCAACTAGAGATAACAGCACCCTAATCACTCAAATTACATGTTTATTATGCTAAATCATGTTAAATCAGATTTTTTTTTATTTAATTTCATTTTTCATATTTAAGAATTGAACCACATTATTATTTTGCTCTCGAAAAAAAATTTATTTTCCAAGATATTATCACCACTTTTTTCTCATCTAATTTTGTTAGCTTATTATTGTTTTCTATTTTTTTATTAAAATAGAATCAAATTATTTAATTAATTAAGTTTATAATTCTGAGTAATAGAGTTTTTCTTTCTAAAAAAACATGATTGGTGTATCTGAAAACAATTTTTTTAACATATAAAAATAATAATATGGATAGACATAGTAACGCGGACCACATCCATTAGCTTACTAGTAATAAAG